CCCACTGGAGGCAGCACGGTGGCTTTAGCATAAGATGGTCGCCGTGGTTCACGAAGCCACACGGCGACGGCCTCAACTTGGTCTCGTGGAATACACAGGCGTTCAATGGCAGATCGGCAACAAGGCGGGCCCTCAAGAGACAGTTGTTACTCCGTTACATGCGGCAACGAGCGGTCATCGCCACCCAAGAGACACACGGCAACAGCATCGGCATGGACCTCTTGGCCGCAAGCTCCGACCACAAGTACATCGCCTTCCACTCAGCGCTTGCGACTGACGGCCAATCATCGGAGACCGCAGGCGGAATCGCATTCCTGGTTCCCTTTGACCGAACTCCAACTGTCGCCTGAGCAACGGCCTCTACGTTCATTTCGTGCGATCGCCCCTGGACGCATTGGTGAACTACGCGTTCAAGACGGGACAAGACAGCATGAGACAACAATCTTCAACATTCACAACTACGACCTCAGCGGATCTGACCGTCAGCGCTTCAAAGCTGCGTGGCAAGCAGCTGCTCAACGCTCAGCCCTCCACCCAGACAGCCGCGACTACTACATGATTGGGGACTTCAATATCGCCCAGACACCGCCGACGAACCTGCTTCATCCCACCGCGGGCTCTACCGCCGAGCGCTACCACTACCAGCCTGCCTTCTGGAAGAACATCTTCTCACAGATGGTGGAGATCACTACGAAGGCCACCACCCACCGATGCGTGGCCAACATGACGGAGGCGTCCATCGACAGATGCTTCGTCTCGATCAACGCGTCCAACACCCCGCACATCGAGACACTTCTTGTCGCCGATGGCCGACCGCTCGACCGAGAAGGGGAGCCCATCAGCGACCACAAGATTCTACATCTACGGTTTCGACCTCGTCAACCACGTCCAGTCAGCGAGCGCGGCATCCCTGCCTTCCTCTTCGAATCCAAGCACTACGAGTTCTACTGCAGTCGCCTTGTCGGGATGGCCGACCTCTCAGCTGACCCCATCTCAAACTGGCGGACAATGAAGCACGTAATGAAGATGGCGGCGTGCAAGGCTCGCGACACCATCACCTCTGTCTCCGCCTCCGAGCTCAAGCCGTTCGAGAGCCGAAATGAAGGCCCACAAGTCATAGAAGAGGCACGTGCACTCACACTCCGTAGTATTGCAAGAGCCGTCTGGTACCAAGACCTCCTTCTCGCTCAACGACTTCGAGAGGATACCGCTGTTGGTGCACAGCACATCGACATCAGTCACCACAAGATCTCTCTAGTCGACCGCACCGCGTTCGAGACCGAACACTCCGCCATGCAGCTCCAGATCGCTGAACAACGACGTCGCGCTGCTGCCGCCCGCTCGAGAGCTGCCTATGCGGAACAACGACCTGACCTTGGTGAGCGATGGCGTCGCCGTGCTCGTCGTATTGGACAGCGCAGCGAGATCTGGAAGCCGTCCTCGAAGCGCTTGATTCTGGCAGGTGTCCGCATCACCGACAGCAGAGGCCCGACAGTCGCAAACGACCCCATGGACATGCACAACGCTATTCAATCTCATTGGTCGAAGATGTTCGCTGCTAAGCATGTTGACGCCCCAGCGATGCAGCAATATCTGGACATGGTATTCCCACCAATGCCTCCACGTCACCTGCCTCTACCTGGGATTGAAGAACTCCAAGCTGCTGCTAAACACGCCAGTGACTCTGCTCCTGGGCCCGACGGACTGCCATATCGAGCATGGGTACGACCTGAGGGCAGCATCGAGATCCTCCACACACTCCTCCACTCCATTGCCCACGGTGGACCGATCCCACACGACCTGAACTACGCGCTCATGGCCATGCTCCCCATGGGTGATGAGCCCATGGGCAAGTACGAGTGCTCCCGCAGTCCTGACTGCCTCCGCCCCCTCGCCATGAAGAACAGTGACATCAAGATCATCGCCTCAGCGACGAACCGCATCCTCAGCTCTGTGGCGTCGGACACCGAGGAGGAACAACAAGGTTTTGTCAATGGCCGTCAACTTCTCTCCAACATTGTCAAGGTGGACACCATCGCCCGTATCGCCAGCATCTACAGCGAAGCCCCCAGCATGATGCCCTGCTTCGCCAGCATGGACATTGCCGCAGCGTTTCCGAGCCTCACACACGCGTGGTTGTGGGCTACTCTAAGGCGGTGGGGCATCCACGGCGAATTTGTCAATCTCCTGCAGTGCTGCTACAACATGCCACTTGCCTTCCTTGACCTGGGTGGTGCGCGTCGTCCGCTACTTCTAGCTGAATCTGGGGTTGCGCAAGGATGTCCCTTGAGCGGCGCGCTCTGGGCGCTAGTATCCGGTCCCATCATCAAGGGCCTCAAGATGGAACTTACTGCTCTGGGTAGAGGCCTGCTCAGCGCATGCGCCGACGACCTGGGTATAGTTCTTGCTGCACTTCGGGATCTTGGCGCTCTACTACCACACCTGCAAGCTGCACAACATTACGCTGGATTCCGTCTACAACCGAAGGAATGCGTCCTCGTGCCCACCTGGTCCCTGCCAACGCCCGAGATCACCGCGAGCATGCGAGCCATCTTGACCCAGCTCTATGAGCCGTGGCAAGACTTCACCATCAATAGTTTTGCGCGCTACCTCGGCGTATACATCGGCCCTGGAGTTTCTCTCGACCGTCAATGGCAAGGTCCTGCCAACAAGTGGTGGGAGCGCATTCAGATCCTGTGCGACTCCCACGCTCCCATCCAGCAATGCACCAAGATGTACAATTCCGCTGCCATCACTTGCCTCTCGTACGTCGGCCAGCTCTACCCGCCTTCCCCAGCATTCCTGTCCAAGGAGATTCACGGGCTCCACAAGCTGATCCGTGCTGCCCCCTCAAGCTTCACGAAGATGGACATCCTGTCGTTCACGCTATGGGCGTCATCCACGACCCCGCAGGGTATTGAAACGCTTCTCGCAGCAACGATGCGGCGCGCCTCCACGACCACCATCCCTGGCTGGCAGCCTCTGCTTCACACATTCCGTGCCCATGCTGAAGAACTTCTCCCGCTACGAGATGTATGTGTTGGCAACTGGTCTGCTTCTTGCTGGATTGACGCCACTTCCATCGTACGGCGATTCGACGACATTCTCCACAACAAGCTGATCGCGACGGGCAAAGGATCCATCTTCAAGATTTTCACGCGATCCACAGGATCTACGGTGAATGCCGCCCAGATATTTCAACGAGCACATGCGCAAGCTGCTGCTGCTGGACGACGCGCTATCATGGCACCCCGCCGTAACAAGGCGGAGGATCTGCACACACCCAGTCCGCACACGCCCAGTCGTGACCTTCACACGCCCAGTCGTGACCTTCACACAAGGACTGGTGACCTTCACACGCCCAGTCGTGACAGGACTGGCGGATCTCATCAGAGTCAAGCTGGAGTCATAGCTTCGAATGATGCTACTTCGAGAGCCACTTCGCGCACCTCTCCACAACAAGCATACCTACGGGAACTACAACGCCAGCTGTACCGCGACTCCTTCCACAAGACTATTCATCACCATCTCCGCGCATGGTTCCCACTACTACCTGCTGTCAATGGACCTCAGATGGCACCTGCTACGACCGAGCAGCCGAATGGGAACGACAATCAGGAATCCATGAAGTACCTGAATGAACGGGCAGAAGCATGGGCAGCAAGATGGGTCCCCAGCGTGTTCTTCGGCCGCATTATGGACAACTTCAACGACTGGATGGAATGGTGCGTCCCGTACATCGCAGCTGTTCTTCACCGCGCCCAGTTCAATGCGCACTTCTGCCTCGACGACCAGTACGGGGTAGCCAATGCTCGCCGTGACATGGCGAAGGAGATACGTTACGATGCATGGCATCGAACTGAACGATCTCGCAACCACCGCATACAGATCTACTCCACCGAGCACATGCCGACAAACACTCATCGAGAATTTGCTGATGAAGCTGCTGAGCACCGCGCCCGCCGTCGTTGGGTCGAACGGGAACGCGCCACCAACCCGAACCTCCCGCAGGAAGACGACGGCACTCAGTCTACCACTACGGCCACATCCACACCCTACATCTTTCCGCCAATGACATCTTGATGGACTCCGATACATCCGACCGTGACGGACTTCTTGGCCGAGCTGCTCTCCCTGCGAGTGTTGAGCGCAGCTGGCGCGACCTGCGGCCCCACTTGGCGAACTCCACGGCCTCGCTCTTCTGGCCCGTGGTCAAGACCTTGTCTGGAGCGTGGACGACATCGCATCGCATGCACGTCAATCCCCACAAGAAGAACTGCTTGTTCGGCTGCGACAAAGACTCGCAGTTCAAGAACACGGACGACATCAGCCACTACATTACATGCCCACGAATGTGGACACTACTGGCCCAACCTCGGGGACAACCTTGTGAGAGCAACAACATCGACGACAACCCAAGGCACACCATCACACGCATGGCCGTGGCCTATCGCACGTACAACATCCTGCGGGTGCACACAGAGATGGGCACTCCCGCCATCCACAACGAGCTCA